ATTAAATTCCGTGGCATAAAATCTTGATCAGTGGCAGAAATTAGTGGCAGACTTTCCGTCACAATAGACTATGGCAGATTAATTCGCCATTGAATTCCGCCACGGATTAGCGACGGCTTTAAACATCCGTCAGTAAAAGCAATACTGTCCAGAATTTAGTGGGGGATAGTCTGCCACAGATTTCCGTCACTTAACATGTTTGTGGCGGAATTAGTGACGGAATTTCCGTCACTAAAGTCCGAGATTTCTTGTAGTGATTTAAATGAGGAACCGTAAAATTTCAAGAACTGGACCATTAAGCAGGAATAGTTCGATGCTACATGGTTCTATAAATAATTTATAAGAATTGAATTGTTACTAAGATATGATATTTTTCAAATGGTTTCATCTATTTTGCTTATGAACTGAATCGGCCCTTGGCCTAGAAAGAAGCTATTGGGATCCTCATAATCTCAATATCTATTTTCTAAAGTATTAAAGAATTTGGGATTCCATTAAAAAAGGAAAATATGGTAAAGTATGAATAAATTTTAGGGGTGTTTGGTTATATATCCTCCTATTAAACATTTCTAGTATTAAACATTTTTGGTTTTATGGATTGAATTTGGCTGTTTAAATTTTAATGTGTTTAAACAATACGGAGTATCAATCAAACAATCATTTCTGTTCGTAAACGTTTTTTTTTCCTTTGAGTTGCTTTTGACAACGGTTTTTATTTTTATTTTTTTATTTTAAAAGCCTAATATATACCCTTCAATTTTGCCTTAATATTTAAGTTTTTACTAACTATTCAAATTAAAACTAGGAATATTAATTGAAATAAAATAAAAATAATAAGGGCAGTATAATAATAATGATTCAATGTAATAAATATCATCCTGAATTGTTACTATTTTCAAAAGCTAGTAACAACAATATAATCGTATTTCTCTCACACACAAAAAACAATATAATTTTAAAAAATTGTAGAATTATATAAGGGTTTTTTTTAAGAGGAATTTATTAAGAAAAAGATAGGGTACAATGCGAAATAAAAGGCATACTGAAAATAAAGCAAAAAGCAAAAGAAAAGTACAGTAAAACGGTAAAAATTAAGCCCACGGAAATTGTTTGGTTTGAGAGTAAAACGATAAAAATTAAGGCCACGGAAATTGTTTGGTCTGAGACCTGGTCCTTATGCTATGACGCCGCTTTAACTGCTGAGTTTTCCTGTAAAGTTTAAGTTGCATGTTCAGGTTATCTGTTGGCACGCAGTTGTCTGAAGTTTAACTTGGATTTGCGGCAAATAGCTCTGTTCAATTTTGAGTTCCTAATATCGGTTTGGTCAGAGATTGGTGGTCAACGTTCGCTTTCTGTTGCGTGCCCCAGAAAATCGTCTGAAAAATATGAGTCATCTGACGGGTCATAACGGTCCGAGGCATCTGAGTACGCCTGAATTAATGGTAGTTTGGGATGACTCTCTGAAGGTATACGTTGCTCGGCGTAGGCTCCCCGAATTTGGAAATTAAAAATGAGTTTCGAAATTGACATGGCTTCCTCATCATCTGCCATGGAATTGTGCTCCATGTGGAATGTTTCCTCTTATTCTAGGGAAGAAAATCCTACAATATTTGAAAAGATATCCAGAAACTCCGTTGTATGGACAAACAGTCAATTATGCCCTCGTAGTATGGACAAACAGTCAATTATGCCCTCGTACTTTCGAAACACTCAATTGAGCCAGTCACGTCTCCGAAAACACTCAATTAAGTCTACATTACCAGTTGTCTCCCGGTATGCCCAATTCTCATTGAACCGATCCAATTTCATCCATTCAAACGAAGAAAGAAGAAACAAGGGAGTTTCCACCCAATTTCGTGTTTGCGAGCGAGGGAGATAAGAATTCGAGATAGAACATTGTGAATTTTGTGGGGGAGAGAATATTAATTAGTAGATCGTATTGATTAGTTGTCTGGGGAGGGAGGGAGGGAGGGAAGGAGGGAAGAGTTATGTGTATGAGTATGTAAATGCATCAGAAGAAATCCAAAGTTCAGATCAGAAAAGAAAGCAATTGTGTCTCTTCCAATTTCAACCCCACTTTGCTTTCATCCTCTTTCTTTTCCAATTGTGATTTCTTGTAGTGTTTTGTGAGTTGCATAAGTTTGGATTGGGATCCTTTGTCGCACAGCAGAGTGCCTTGTGGTAGGGAGGCCGTCGGATAGGAAAAGTGGCACATTGAGATACGGGCCTCTAAATCTTCAACAGTTGAAATATTGATCAGACTACTCCCGAAGGCCAGACAGGGTTCCTAACTCGGAAGTAAGGCAGAGAAACCAGATCCTATAAGTTTTGTTTAGTAAAATAATTATAAGTCCCTATTGCTTAATTTGTATACATGAATAAAACATATCCAACTACATTGAATAGTTTTAATGTTTAGATTTTAAATGAACCCCTGGATATTTATACATTAAATCTTTTAGCATGGATGCTGAATTCAAGCTTAAAGGAGATTAATTTAGCATGAATATTTATACATTAAATCTTTTGACATGGATGATTGCATTCAAGCTTAAAGGAGATCAATTTAGTTTCATTTGAGCATTCCTTCAGAATTTGAAGGTGTAACTCGTGAGGGGTTACTGATCTCTACCCTAAAAAGGTTAATTATGTATTAATATTTGATTTAAAATACATTTGAACTTGTGTCTCAAATGCGGTCATATTGATTTAAATGTTTTTACATATGTGATAAAAACAGACCCATTAATCTTTCATTTGAGAAATGCTTCCGGTTCTATGGGTGCCATTCAATTCGTGAGGGTCTAATGTTGTCCACACTAAAAGGCAAATTATGTATTAATATTTGATTAAAAATACCTTTGAACTTGTGTCTCAAATGTGTTCATATTAATTTGAATGTATAAACATATCTGAAATTTATTGAAGTAATTGAACTGTATCGATCATATGTAACTCATATAATCCTACTTTGTCCATCCACTAAATTCTGATTTTCTAAGTTCTATTTTTATTTACCGTTTTTTACATTTTTCTTTATTTTGTCATACACTCATATTCTCTCATCGGGCGTTCTTATCAAATGATCCATGGCTTTGGATAAACCAAAAGAGACCAGAATATCATTTTAAAAAGCTCAAAATTTCACACATCGACATATAATGATTCTTGAGGTATAATAATTTCTCCACTGATTAGCAAGTCCAATGGATTATATGTCATTTATGAACCAAGATGCAGTATTTATAAAAATATGTCTTTATTATCTAAAGAGTAGTTTTTGTTAAGTTTTAAGATGCCTATCAATGATCATGCATGTATTAGCCTGTAAAGTCAATTGTATTAGTACCAGAGAAATAATAATAAATGTTACAAAATAAAGTTTGTTGAAATTTTTATTGACCCGATGAAGGGGAACAACTTCAACTTTATTGTAAAATCAATTGTATTAGTACATGAGATGCAGGCTGCTATGTTGGGCTTATTTACTTTGATCTGAGTCTCTGTCATGGTCCTCATGGATATTATGATGAAGACAAGAGGACTTCCAAAGTAGGACTCAAATACATTTCAAATATTTTGCTATTTCCGTGTTTAATAACCCAATTAACAAGATGAAAAAATGTTTATAATAACGAAGAAGGAAGTTTGAGATACGGTCCATACGGAATTACGGATGCAAAGCATGTCACGCCATTGGATGGGACGGCCAATATGCAATCAATGCAAACCTAATAGCACTACTTGCAATAAAATTAATATCGTAGTTATAACATGCGAATTGTTATCCAAAGAGACACAAAAGTGATTCTTCTGAAATTGTAATGAAAAGGGGTTTTTAATATTGAGTGAACTTGAGAAAAATTATGATAATAGTGCCCTGTTTGATAAAGTGAACATAAGTAAATGTAGTTTAATAAAGTAAACTTAAATTTTAATAAAAGCTAGGTCAACATTAGTGAACCTAGGTTCATGCGTATAATATTGTTTTAAAATACATATGGTGAACCCAGGTTAATTTAATAAATGTTGTTTATATGAATGTACTTTAATTCATTATATTTTATACAATAACTTAACCTCCAAAACCTCCTATTTCAGAGGTTCTTCAATTCTAGATATTTACATGTTCTCGTGAGTAGGGCCATCTAATGAATTTGGAGGCCCCGGTTCTAAATGTAAATTGAGGCCCCAAATTAATATAAAAAGTTTATTAAAAATATCAATCCAAATACTTATATTCAAATCAATTGAATCCTTATTAAAGAGAACCAAGAGTAAAAGGACCAACGAAAAAAATAATGGATCTATAATTTTCTTCCTTACTAACTGTATTTTACTAATTAGTACTCCCTCCGTCCCCCAATTAAGTTCTTGGTTTGACTTCACACATATTAAGAAAATAAATTTGACTTTACTGTAGAGTGCACTATTATGCACGGTTTAAACACTGTTTGACACTGTTTTGCACTATTTGGCACTGTTTTGATGTAGATAATTTGTCAAATGAGGAAAGGATTGAAGTGTGAACTTAATTTAGGGACTGCCCAAAAAGGTAAGTGATAACTTAATTAGGGTACGGAAGGAGTATTAATATATAATATTACTCCTTAGCATATAACAATAAAAGAAAATGTAGAGAACTTTAAAAAAATGCTGTTTAGTCCGTATTCTTGGTTCCGTTTTTACTTTTTAGAGGTGAAAACCAAAATCAAACAATCCACTACCGTTCCTTCGGTTCTTGAGTTACGCTTTTTATGGTCAGTTATTTTACTTGCACTTTGGATTTTATTGATACGATTTTCCGTTTTAGCCCCTTAAAATGAGCTTAATAAAGAAACACGAAAAGCGCACCAGCATGGAGCCCATGTGTTGGGCCAGGGATACGCTGCAGGCTTGTTATGATTACTTCGTACGGAGTATCAATACTCATTGGTCTCCTACGCAGGTTGTTATGAAACAATCAAGAATATACGCGTCGGTCCCACATTTGATTCGCCGTCAGAGGTACGCGGTAAGTGGTGGGAAGACCAGAGCCTTGCTGCTAAGGGAGGTAGCACTTGAGTAATTTCACTAGTTAGGCTATTAGCTAGCTAGCTGTAAACGCAAATTAAACAACTAACTATGCAGGGAGATGATGTGGACACTGTGAGGTCAGCCATATGGAACAACTTGCCGCAAGAGAAGAAGTTCAGCCCGGAAAGAGTCGCTCAAATCACATCAAGGTTTAGGACAGTTCATGGGGATGGCAATTCCGCCACAGTGTTCAGAGGCACTTCTGGCGGTTCAAGGGTTGCTGTAAAGTGCAGGAAGAGGGGGTCTGAGCAAGGGGAAAAGGCTTTCCTCACTGAAATCGTTGTTCACTCCAGAATGGGGAACCACCCCAAAATTGTGGGCTTCCTGGGTTGCGGCCTCCATTCCCAATCCAGGATGGCTTACATTGTGTGCGAGTTCATGCCCAACGGCAGCCTGGAGTCCCACATTCAAGCCAATTTGCGCCAGTTTTCATGGAGAAGGATCCTTCAAGTCCTGATCGATGTTGCCACTGCCATATCTCATCTCCACTCCCTTGGCATAGCTCATCGGGACATCGCCTCCAGAAACATCCTTCTCGACGCTGACCTCCGCGGGAAGCTCAACGATTTCGGGCTGTGCAAGCTTCCCCTTGATGCTGGCTGTTATTTTCACGAGCCCGTCTACCCCCGTATCCCGTCCACGCTTGACTTCGACGTTTACCGCTTCGGGATGGTCCTTTTCGAGGTCCTTCACAAAAGACAATGCCTAGACCGTCAAAGGTCTGTTCTGGGGTGGATGCAGACATTGATGACGCGGGGCAGTCACACCGTCCAAGACTCCGCCAACATTCAGGCTTCGTGGCGGTCATCCGGCCGATCCGCCGTCTCCAGTCGTTCTATGGGTGTGATCCAGCGCTTAGCTTTTCGGTGTGTCCATTCATGCTCCTGTTATCGACCATCCATTTCTCAAGTTCTCGATCAGCTAAGGCATGCTGCCCACTACTAGCCGCAACTAGTATAGGTATTTCCGTATATATACTAAGCTATACGGAGTACTACGTATGGTATATATACTTACGTACGTATAGTACATGGATGCACTTATTACTCGTACGTATTACTTACTCTACCTAAGTAATACGTATATGGTATTAATTAGTGATCTGACAGGGTTTAATTTAAAAAAAAAGGTATTATATATACTCCGTATATGGCTAAATGGCTAATGGCTATATATAATGATAGGATGTTGTGGAAATGCTGTAATATAATTACATACAGCTAGCCTTACAGACAATTAATTAATTAATTAAATCTGGCTAGTTTCATTTATACTGCAGAGTTCAGTTCAGTTTGTTTTTTCTTTTTTGCTTAGACGTACGGCTTAGTGTGTGTCTGGAAATCTCGATCGGACTTTGCTCAGCTCATTTTGTAATTAGTAATCTTTTTTAACGATAAGTTGCTCTAAAAGTGCAGCTTTACTAAATTTCGAAAACTTGATCATATGCATTTCATGTGATCTGGAAAGACTGATATGATCGATATATATGACGATATGGCCACAGAGCAGAAAATTAAAGTATAATAACGACATCATTTGTTGGACTTTGCTATACCTGAAATCACTATCCAATATTGGAAGGGGTAAAAGTAAAATATACTTAGTGAGGAAAAAGGAGTTAACTATGTAATCATAGATTCATATGCTCGGTACGTACTAAGGACACAATTATGTGTTGCAAATATTTATAAGTAGTATTACTACTTATACAATTTGAGTTCGTAGTAGTGAGTATTATCTAAAAAATAGCGATTTTAAAACTTACTAGATATTTAATTATCTTAAATCCTATAATATTATGATTTGTTGCATATATTATTACATCCACTATCTGTATTACTTTAGCTTTTTCTATCGGTCTGTTTTATAGAAATTGTCGCATACTATGGTATAATATTATTAGGTAATACAAAGTATTAAGATGATTATATATACTTTTGATTATTGAAATATGTATACGATAGTTTTTGGAATACAGAGTGTCTTGACTCTTGATTACTACCTAAGACCAAATGGAGTGGCATGTGGTGAGGTATTAGGAGTCCAAAATGTTAAAATAGTATTTTCGGACTCCTAATTTCATACATTAATTACTCAATAGAAAAGAGGTTAAATTTGGAGGAGTTTTGGACAACCAAAAATTAAATGGAAAAGAAAAAGGGGAGTGGGGGCGTACATGCTTTGTGCAGGTGGGGAGCAGAGGGCTTGCACTCTAGCAGCGGAGTTATTTCCCTCGCTGACATCATGTTAACGTCAGCATGAGGTCAGCATGCACTACCAACAGCTACTTTAAAAAAAATTGGTAGATCCAATGACTGTGATGATCTTGACACTGTTTGAACGGGAAAAAAATGATCCACCGACTGAAATATAAATCCAAAGGTTGAAATAGTTTATTTTATTTTTCACTTATTTTTAATTAATATTTTTCTCGAATGTGTTTGAAATTACTCAGGAAAAAAGGTTTAAAAAAATTATTGAAATTTAATTTTTTTTTACATCGAAATGTGTCTTTTTATTTTGTAATTAATCATAAATAAATTAAAAGGAAAACATTACTTATAATAATTTAATTAATGTTTTACTAAATTGATATGTAAAAAAAATGTGTAGAGTGTAATTTATTGACGGTGCTGGAATGCAGAGAATGTGAGTCAAAGCACTGTTTTCATTTCGACGGAGGCCAATTTTGACACTTAGACTCTTGCACCATTCCAAATGGTCTAATGCAATAAATAGTTAAATACATATACCAAGGTAGGGGTGGGAGCGGTCTGGAACGGTCCGGTAACCTAGTAAAACCCTTTATGTATCCTTTAAGTTTTTAACGGTCCGGTACGGTCCGGTTTCAAGGATGGAACCGTTCGGTACCATGCCGTTTAGAATGGTACAAAACGGTACAGTACAATGTCAAACACATACTAAAAAAATTGAACAAATCTTGCAATAAGTAGATATCTTCACACCAACCAACTCACATGAAATGCTGATATAAGTACAAGAAATCGCATATGTAGTACTAAAGTTCACAATTACACAAATAGTGCAACACAACTAAGGAAAGAATAGCAAAAATGATGATGCACGAGATCAATATCATCTTTAATTTACTATGTTCATGTGAAAATATAAAGAAGAATATCATCAGATTGTTGAATACTCTGTATAATAGAAATCTTCAATGTTCTTCTTCTTCGTTCTACGTTAAATATTTCTCCGTAGTTCTAATTTAATTTATAGTTGAAACATGAGAGCTAAGATGTAAACGATATTAATTAAGTTACGTTGTAAAATTATGCAAACATGATACTACAAAAAGTCATGTACGTACACTACATCACTAGAAATGAATAGTCCTTAATATTCTTTCAATACATATAAAAATATAACATATATTATCTAAAAAGAAAAAATAACAATATATGTATAATATAAAAACAAACATTTAGCTAGTTTAGGAATGCATGGATACATAATTGGGCTATAAAATTGTTTGTCTATAAAAGAGATCTATTGGTATAGAAAAATTATAAAAAATTCAAACACATTTTTTCGAACAGTTCGGTCTAGTATTTTTCGGTTCTCAAAATCTAGGACCGGTCCCGTACCCGTTTCAAACGGTTCGGTTTCGGTACAGGACAAAAATCTATAGAACCGTTCGAATACCCAGTGTTCGGTTCGGTACCATTACGGAACGGCTCGGTGTCGGTTTGGTTCGGGTTTTATGCCCATTGCCCACCCCTATACCAAGGCCCAAGGGTGGCTAGAAGGATATATACGCCGTATTAAGTACGTATATGCATTTACATATATTCTTGAATTCGAAGAGTTTAACGTCGGAATGTCTGTCCGATGCCATCCCGTCATATCACTGTTTTCTACAAATTATACGATTGGTTGTTAGAGCCTCAGATGGGATGAAACCCGCGGGCTCACTCGTTTAAATCAATTTATTGGTGAGTGAAGTTGAAAATTTCTGATTCATTTAGTTCGTGGGTTTTTTTATTCAATCCATGCGGGTTGCGGGTTTAAGTGGGTTGGCCCATATATGTGGGTTGTGGGTTGACCCGCGGGCCAATATATACAAACATATAGTTTTGAATTTTATTATCTTAAATATTGTTCTTTTACTAACACTATTATTAAATTACAATTACAATTAAAAATTGCAACCATGGCAAAATAATATTTATTTTTATAATAAGTATTCAAATAAAATGTTGAAACATGTATTTTATGTGAAGTTCGATACAATATTTAACAATTAGTAGTCATTATTTACACATAATCAATCAAAAGGTTTATGTAAATTTTTTATTTTTATACAATGAGCATTTTTGTCACATGCCCTCTTATAGTTTTCAAATTCTCATATAACTAGTATTTAATATTTTTTAATTAAACTTAACAATTTTTAAAAAGATTGATTTCTTATATTTCCTTTGTTACTATTTACAAATATAAATATATATACCTCAAGGTAATTATTTTTAAAGATCTTTTGTTATATACTAGTATTTTTTTACATTGGCCCGCGGACCAAAACGTCTAACCCACGAATTAGGTGGGTTGGGTTAGGGTTGTAGAAGTTCTGACCCCTCATTAAACCGGTTGGCCCGATCAAACCCACATAAAACATAATCGACCGTTACGGGCCGAGTTGGATCGGTTTGGCCTCTCTAAGAGAAATTTATCATACTAAAATTTGTTGATTCAATAATTGAAGAAGCTTAACTTATTCAACAGTAAAAATTAGGTAGTGTTAAAAGTATCTAATTAAGTGACAAAATTTGTTTATCTGGACTCCCCTATGTTACTTTCATCTATTAAGGCTAGTGAAAGAATTGTTTTGTCTCGATTATATTAAGTGACACTGAAATATAAATCTCTTCACTTTATGTAATGTATGGAAAGCGTGATTGTCATAATGATATGGAAAAAGGGTGAGATAGACCCTCGAATTTACATAAAAAGGTCAAATAAGCCCTTATATAGGAGATTCTGTCCGGCCGTCACCATTTGGGCGGTTCTTGGTGGAATTTTTTGATGAAATTTTTTGAGCATCTTATTCATTAAGTCATGTTTACTCATAATAAAGTTTAGCTAAAACTTCAATCGGAAAGACATTCAAATGAATTCTGGAATATAACTGTGTAGTTAAAAGCGCAGTTATCTTCAAGAATTCATTTGAATATTTTTCCGGTTGAATTGTTAATTAAACTTTGGTATGAGTAAACTAGACTTAATGAATAAGATGTTTAAAAAAGTTCATCAAAAAATCCACCGGGAACTACCCCAAATGGCGATGACCGGACAGGTAGAGCCTCCTATATAAGGGCTTATTTGACCTCTTTATGTAAGTTCGAGTACCTATTTGACTCTTTTCACTAATGATATTAAACATGTATTTTCTTCTTCTGAATGATATTTCAGCTTAAGCTCCTTTGACCTATTTTGTTGTTTTGATTCCATTGCATTCTAGTAGAAACGTAGTTTATTGAAATTTCATAATTATCAACGTTTCTATCAGTCTCTAGAATATCTTCCTCATTTAAGGAAGTTGGATCATTATTTGAGATGTTTGTTCTGTCAATATCATATTCTATGCCAGTATTTTCAAATTGTTCATTTTCTTGTTCAGAAGGATGAACATCTTTGGCATCACAGATCAATTTCTGCCTCTTAGTTTTTCTTGGTTTTATATCTTTTGATCCAAGTGGCTTGTCACGCTTTTTGCGTATAGAAGAATCAATTGCAAGAGATTTTTCAGAATTCTCTGTTGGAATTTCGATTCTGACAGGAGCATTTATAGCAGGAATATGTGACTTTCTCACTTTCTTTGTGTCTGTAAGATTAAAAGTTGAGATTATTTATAGGGATTACTTGCTATATCTCTTCTCATCCATTTAGAATTTATTTATAGGGACCATTATTGGCGGAAGGTCCCTAAAGTTGGGAATATTCTGAAATAATCGATAGTTGGAATTATTATGGGTGTACCGCAAATAGTTGAGATTATTACTATCAATTTTTCCTATATTAAATGGTTGGTTTTTATCTATTAGAAAACAAAATCAAATAACACCGATCATCCCTAGCACTGATCTAACAACGCTTCTAATGTACTTCAATCCTCAATTACCATCGAAAATAAATTAGGAAACCACACTACAAAATTAAGGAGAAGTTGAGAGCGTCTCTCCAAGTCACCTGCGACTTAGGTGCTGTTCTGTTCGTCTTATTCTTATTACTTACTTCCTCCGTCCCCCTAAGTTTGTCCCGTTTTACTTTTTTCGTCCGTCCCAATAAGTTTGTCCCATACCATATATGGATGGTAACATTTGAGTGGTTAGAATTCATTCTTACTTTATTTACACTTTATTAATTCAATATCAACCACACAATTCCACTTTTTCTTAAAAACCACACCACACCCCTCTGTCCCAAACTTAGGGGGGCGGAGGGAGTATTACTTATTCTTATTTTATTCAGATCAGATCAGATCAGATCAGAAAAATTCAGATCCGATCAGATCAGAAAAATTCAGATCAGATCAGATCAGATCAGAAAGATTCAGATCAGATCAAATCAGAAAGATTCAGATCAGATCAGAAAGATTCAGATCAGACCAGATCAGAAACATTCAGATCAGATCAGATCAGAAAAGTTCAAACATGATTTATCACTTTTATTATTATATTAATTATTATTATTAATATTGTTATTACTATTATGATTATTATTATATAATTATTATTAATAATATTAATAATAATATGATAAAAAAATAAGATATTAATATAGTTATAATATTTTAATATAATAATAGTAATATAAATGCAATTATTAAGAAGACTATTATTATTATTACAATATTACAATAATAATAATATGATTAATATTATTATAATATTATATTATAATTATATGTAATTATAATTATACTTACAATTATAATTCTTATAATTATAAGTATATCAATTGTAATTATTATAATTATATCTATAATAAATTATAATTATAATTGTAATTAATTATAATTATAATAATTATAATTACAATCATAATTATAATTATGATTATGATTATAATTATAGTATAATATTATAATAATATAATACTAATGATAATCATAATATTATTATTATTATGTTATTGTAATAATAATATTAATATAATAATATCGTTATAATAATATTAATTGTATTTATATTACTATTATTATATTATAATATTATAATTAATGTTAATATAATTATAATTATTATTAATTATAAATATACTTATAATTATATTATAGTTATAATTTATGATTATAATTATTATTTTTATTATAATTATTAATATTATTATTATTATTATTGTTACTATTGTAATTATTTTACGGAGTAATTATAATAATATTGATAACTATAGTTACAATTATAGAGATAAATATTGTAATTATAATTACAATTATAATTATATAAGTAATTATAATTAAAAATATAATTACAATTATAATTATATCTATATTTTTAATTAGTGTAATATGTATAAATTTTTTCATTTTAAATTTAATTTTAATTATTATTATTATTTTTATAGTTACGATTATAATTATAATTTTATTTAAGTTATATTTGTAATTGCAATTATAATAATTATAATTATAATTTTAATTATAATCATAGAAATATTCAAATCAGATCAGATCAGAAAGATTCAGATCAGATTAGAAGGATTCAGATCAGATCAGAAACATTGAGATCAGATCAGACCAGATCAGAAACATTCAGATCAGATCAGGAAGATTCAGATCATATCAGATCAGATCAGAAAGATTCAGATCAGATCAGATCAGATCAGATCAGATCCGATCTGATCAGATTAGATCAAAAAAAATTCAGATCAGATCAGATCAGAACTTAAAAAATTCAGGTCAGAAACGTTCAGATCAGGCGAAGAGAACAGCTTCTTAGACTCTTCTCCAACCGCAAATCACCTCTACCTTCCTTGATTCTTCATCTTTAAACTTAGATTTTGGTTATACTACGGTACTACCTCCATCCTTTTTGGGGTGTATTATTTTCGAAGTTTTTGAGCTAGGAAACCTTCTCCCTCACCTCGGCAGATACTGTTCACGCCAGGAGGTCAACGCCATTTCCCAGAGTTCCTCTTGATCGAACAGCGCCAGTAGTAAAACATTGAGAAAATTCCATAATAGGAGCTCCCTTTAATTTAGGGAAAAGGGGCAAAAATGCCCCTAAAGTTGTCACCAAAGAGGATATATGCCCTTGAACTTTTCTTTTGGGCAAAAACCTTTAAGAACCTCGTAAGAGGGGCAATCACCCCCTTCATTTAACGGAACCTAGTTGACAACCGTTTTTAGCTCCTTTGAATAGTCAACAAAGTAGTACTCCGTAATGTATTTTAATTTTATTTATTAAATTAATTTTGTAAATTAGTTGGAATATAAAAGTTTAGGAAAAATTGAAAATAATAATTCCAATTATCGCCGCTCCGCTAACAATAATCCCAACTATTGCTTATTTTTGTATAATCTCAACTATATGGACCATCCGCCAATAATGGTCCATGACCGGATATTACCTGTTATAACATGTAAATTTTAAATAGAAATTAAGAGTAAAAATTAAAAGTTGAGATTATTTATAGAGATTACCTGCTATATCTCTTCTCATCCACTTTAGAAACTATATGAATTTATTTATAGTCGATCACCCCGGACCACTATTGACGGAAGGTCCCTAAAGTTGGGATTATTCTGAAATAATCGATAGTTGGGATTATTATAAGCGGGCCGCTAATAGTTGGGATTATTACTATCAATTTTTCCAAACGTAAAGGGAAAACTGTCAAATAGGTCTTCGAACTTTCAAAAAAAGATCAAATAAGTCCTTATATAGGAGGCTATGTCTGGCCGTCGCGATTTGCGACGGTTTCTGGGGAAATTTTTTGTTGAAACTTTTTGAGCATCTTATTCATCAATTCTAGTTTACTCATACCAAATTTCAGCTAAAACTTCAATCGGGAACACATTCAAATTAATTCTTGAAGATAACTGTGTAGTTAAATGAGCAATTATCTTCAAGAATTAATTTTAATGCGTTCCTGATTGAGGTTTTAGCTGAAATTTGGTATGAGTAAATTAGACTTGATGAATAAGATGCTCAAAAAGTGTCATAAAAATTTCCACCGGGAACTGCCCCAAATCGCGATGGCCGGACAGAGCCTCCTGTATAAGGACTTATTTGACATTTTTTTGAAAGTTCGAGAACCTATTTGACAATTTTCCCTAATTTAAATAAAACAATTAGAAATACAAGTATACCATAAAAAAGCGCTATAGTAATTAAATAACAATTATACATAAAAGTATTTCTTCTATCCCGCTAAGATTGTCTCATCTTTCCTTTTTTATCCGTCTCATTAAGATTGTCGCATACCAAATTTGGTACAGTTCGTGTAGTTCTGAATCATTTTTATTTTATTCTTATTTTATCAATTCAATATCAATCATATAAAACCATTTTTCTTAATAACTATGCACTTCCTCATGTCTCAATGCTGGTGCGACATGGGTAGTGCGACAGTTAGAAAAAGAATTACTCCGCACTATGGCTAGAATTACTTTGTCAATTTTAGTAATTAAATAATTACTTAGTCAATTTTAGTATATTCATTCGATTAAGTCAAATTCAATGTTATCAAAGGGGTCTAGCCATAGTACGGAGTTATTCTTTTTCTAACTGTTAATATACTACCCATGTCGCACTAACATTGAGACATGAGGAAGTGCATAATTATTAAGAAAAATGGTTTTATATTGTTGTTATTGAATTGATTAAATAAGAATAAAGCAAAAATGATTTGAAACTACACAAACTGTACCAAATTTGGCATGAGACAATCTTAATGAGATGAATAAAAAAGGAAAGATGAGACAATCTTAGCGAGATAGAAGAAATACTTTTATGTATAATTGTTATTCAATTACTATATCGCTTTTTTTATGGTTTACTTGTATTTCTAATTGTTTTATTTAAATTTTTATATTCCAACTAATTTACAAAAGTAGGTTAATAAATAAAATTAAAATACACTACAGAGTACTACTTCATTGACCATTCAAAGGAGCAAAAAACGGTTGTCAACTGGGTTCCGTTAAATGAAGGGGGTGATTGCCCCTTTTACAAGATTCTTAAAGATTTGTGCCCAAAAGAACCGTTCAAGGGCATACATCCTCTTCCGTGACAACTTTAGGGGCATTTTTGCCCCTTTTCCCTTTAATTTATTCCCGGAATAGAAGCTGTGAGTCGAGTTACGCGTTTCTTTTTCCGATTTTACCCCGTTACAACCGACCCAAATTAATTTTGCCTGATTTCCTTCGGTCACCACTTCTCCCGTAGCCCCAGTTTTATCAGTTCTTCTCTCTCATCTCCCATGAATTTTCAGATTCTTCTCCCATTTCTCCATCCAATATATGAGATCTCTAATTTTACCATTCAGATTTCAAAAGTTTTGGACATTATTTTCTCGCATCTACGGTCACCAGACTCGGAGGCCAATAGCGGCAGCCGTTAGCAAGTACTCTTCTTTTCCTCTTCTTCCTCCTCTTCTTCTCCTCTTCTTCTCTTCTTCTTCTCCTTTTTTCTGCTCCTTTTTTTTCTGCCTTCTTCCTCCTCAATTAACGAATCAATAAACTCTTTTTTTGGAATTTGAGTAAAGACCATATATGTGGTTGGTTCTATTTGAACCCAACTCAGATAGATACGAATAGATGAAACACATGTTTGATTTTTCTTTAATTTTATCCTATCTAGTTCTTCAATTTTGCTTCAATTTTACCAGATCTATCTCCAGATCTGTTTTATCAGATTATATTTTGTTGATTTTTCTACTTTGTTTCAGCTTATGTTTTTTATATTTAATTTCTATTTGACAACACGAAATATAGTTTTGAAACAGTTATTTAATTTTTTTATACCTACTAATTTATTTCTAAATTTTTTTATTCAAACATTGAATTAAAATATTTCTTATCCTTTTCAATCTTGAAATTTTATTCAAAAATTTATGCCATCTTAAGATGAAAATATTAGATCTTTTAATAGCACATCACTTGTAATGCCATGTTTTCATTCAAAAAAAATCATAATTTTACAATATGTTCCATTACAAGGATGGTGACATTTTTGACATTTAATTCCATTAATTCAGTTATAATACCATGTTTTCACTATGAAAATTGAGATTTTGGCAATTAATGTTAAGATGACACTGAATTAGTAAGATGGCATTTTAGTGTAGATCTACAACAATCTCACCGAAGGAGAAGGCGGCAGTGCCAGAAGCCAAGATTTTTGCGCTATATGAGGTGGGATGCAGGAACCATGCCTGACTAGGTGGTATGCGACGGCGATTCAGATACAGTGGCCGGCAACAACCATTAAATATGTGGCGGCCAAAGACAATATTTTAGGGGCTGCGACCAGCGACATCGATTTCTATTTTAGCGGCGGCCGGCGATGATGATTTTAATTCTGGTGAAGATGATTTTAATTTTGGCGATTGATGATTTTAATTTTTTGGTGACGATGATTTTAATTTTGGCGGCCGACGGTATCACCTGTGATGTTAGTTGTTGCTTTGTTTTATAATAATAATATTATAATACTACCTCCGTCCCAAAAAGAGTTGCAAATTTGACTTTCCGTAGTCAAATAGTCTCGTTTTGTTCACTTAATTAGGACATCATTTTTTAATTTTTTTCTAATTTGGAGTTTACAACTTTGAAGAGATTTTAATGTAGTTTTTGAATATGTAAATTTTAAATATTAAAAATTGAATTATTTATCCATAGGAAGGGTTGACTTTTATTATTGGTTGACAAAAAAATGTTGACTTTGCAAAACAAATTGGGACGGAGGGAGTAATAACGAATTGTTAGTTGGCACATCTCTGTAAAGCTTGTATTGTTATTTTTGTTTTATAATAATATTAGTTAGTAATAAAGAAATCCGTTACTTTGTATTCATTTAAGGTGAAACACGGTCAGCTTCTTTTAAAAACGGAAACTTCCTATAAGACTACCTTAAAAAAAGGTAATCAAACAAAGTGTGCTTTATGAAACTTTTCCTAATTATTGTTTTCATTGCAAAGAATTCGGGCACCACCCTTTTATTTTCAAAAAACTTGCCAAACGGGTTGATGGAGATAGTGTGAAAGATCCGAATATTGAAACTTGTGAGGATTTAGGGCTGGGGGCCTCTCAGCCAGGACCTGCTGCCCAGGGAAACCCGACTGGGTCCCCCCCTAGCCCGACCGGGGGGGGACCCAGCAACGGCAAAAATGACTGACCAAGCAATGGAAGTGACTGCCACGGCTTCCAAGGGGAACATCTCAAATGAGGACCACGAGGCCACCGATTCCGAAGCTATGGGAAAGATTGTGAGGAGTGAAAAGGAGTTGAAACAGGATGATGTTGCCATCAAATGTGAGACCATAAATGGTAAGACTTTCGAGTTGCTTGTCAAACCGTTTAGACTCGTCCAGGCTAGTGTCATTAGAGTGGATTCCTTTCTGCGACTTACTGATAATTTGGATAAGAGGGGCATAACTTTCACCGCCCATTGTCTTGAGAGTCTGCCGGGGGTTACTAAGAAGAAAGGGGAGGTTTGTTTTGGCGCAAAGTTTACTAACCCTTTCCATGCTTTCTTTGGACTTTAAATTAGGGATTCCTAATTTTGTTAGTGAGCTTGTTTTGTTGAGTTTAATTTGATCCTAATGTGTCTTTTTTTTAGGTTCAAATTGTTGACTTTTGTTGATCTCTATCTTGATGTTGTGGTATCCCTTGTTTCCGGATATGCACTTTGCTTGTAACATTGACTTGTTATTTCTTAATTTGGGTGTTAATATACTTACATTTCATGCTAGCATCTTGCTTTCATTGACTCCTATTTTGGCATACTTCCCATGTTTTACTCCCATATTGGGAATTCTCTCTGAACAATTTCGTTGTAACGGCTCTTTTGGATTCCCTTAGTTGCTGGGTTTAAGCAAATACAACTTTTCTCATCATCAAAGGATCTTGGTTTTTCACTCGAACGGTCACCATTTCTACGGGCTTGGCTAAAACAAGGAGGAAACTTTGATGTTTCATATAGAAGGGGTAGCTACCACTTAGCTTCCCCTTCCCCTATCAACTATCATGACTACCAAGAAGAAAAAGGATGCCCCCCTCCAACAAAATCCTCCTCTCGGCTTAAAACTAAGGCACAAGCTAAAGAGATCGACTCACATATTGGAGAGGCTTGAGAGGCTATGACGTATGAAGATGAAGATTACTCACATATTGGAGAGGACTACTCACAGACTCTTGAAGAGGATGCTACCTCCTCTAAGACAGCCACCTTGACACCAAAATCCAATACAATTTGCCTTAAAATTGTTCAAGATTCTTTTTAAATTGGCTAATATACATAGTAACATTTTTTTTATCATCATCAATATACATAGTAACTTTGATAGTGGAAAATTGAACCCAAAATTAAAAGTACGATCGTATATATGTATAGTCTCAAGTATTTAATGTTTACGAAAATTTTCTAATTGTACTTTAATTTTTTAAGACAAATACTACGAATAAACTTTCAAGTGGGAAGGCATAAAAAAAAGAACTTTCGAGTGGGAACTTGACCCAAAAAGATTCGTATTGGTTTATGAAGGTGTTTGGTTAATGACCTATCAGTCATTTTTTGACTGATTTGATCGGTTTTTTGATCAGATAAACAGGTGTTTGAGTAATTAGTTTTTTCACGGCTGTTTATCTCAAACTGCCAAAATTACAAAAGCAGATTAACATGGCTTTTCGATGTTCGGCCTATGGTAAATTCTTATTTTTCCCACGCTGCTCCTATTAGTGCTCGTCAACAAAACAAAATACAACTGGACCAAGCGCACGTACTTCTCATAAGCTATAAGAAGCTATCGTGCTTCTATCTTCACTTTTATTTTTTCATTTGCAAATCAGTAATTCTGAAAAAAATAAAACCTAACCTTTTAAAACAGCAAATCAAACATGTCATAACACAAGTCAATCGTTGTTACTTATGTTAATAAAATTTAATTTTTGTTGAATCAAAACGGGTTAAGTAGTTGTAGAAAAATTATTAGCAAAATTTAGGGCAAACATATACTATGCAGTATCGTATAAAGTAGTTAATAAACAAAAACGAATTAATCCTTTAAAAAAAACTAAACAAATTAATTGAAGTACCTGACGCAAATAAAAAACCTCATCTGCGGCGGTTCTGGGAGGTCATGCGCGGCGGTTTTGACCGCCGCAAAAGGTACCTGACGCAAATAAAAAACGCGCGGCGGTTATTAAACATAAAAACCGCCGCATTTTTAGGTAATAAAAAAAATAGAAAATTAAATAAAGCGTGGCGGTTATAGCTATAAGAACCGCCGCGGATTCTATAATTTCGAAATATCATGGGTGGCAGTTCTCAGTATAAAAACCGCCGCCGATTTAATATTAAAAATAAAAATTTCAAATGCGTAGCGGTTATTAACGATAGAACCGCCGCATTGTTTAATGTTTTCAATTTTTAAAAAAAATTATATCACTACTAGAAAAATGGCTTATAGTGACACCAAATTAGTGTCATTGAAAGTTTCTGTGACACTAAAAAAGTGTCAATGAAAGTGGGAAATAGTGACACTAAAAAAGTGTCACTAAAAGTGTCACAAAATTATGACACTATAGTATCACCAAATTATGACATTGCAGTATCACAAAACTCAATGACACTACGGTATCACAAAACTCAATGAAAACATACATGTAATACAATTGATTACAATACATATATATCTATATATACACATATACATAATTTAATACTAATAAATAATCAAAATTTCAAATATTTTTTTATTTATATCTCGAATTCTCATATAAATGTGAATGTACATACTACATAATTAAAAGGGGCATACCCCGCAAAAAAAAACAAGAAAAAAGTGCTACATAAAAGCACATGTGGCATAATACAAAAAGGCCAAAACATCAACAATGGAGAATAGACCAGATGAAGAAGCCTTTCTTGTTATAGCACCATATGCATTCACTAAGGCAAGTCGAGTACTTCTACAATAGTCAGACACTCTTGATACTCGGAAAGGAAAGTTTAGAATTGTCCTCAATCTCTTTACTACCTGCACACCAAGATTTATATTGTACTATAGTTATTCTCAATGCGCGATAGGATAATGCCCAATTTCAATTTCTGAGCACTTATTAATGTTTGCAATAGAAAATTATTTAGTGTGTTACAATGCCAAACTGTAAGTGTGAGAATTTAGTGGAATATATTTTACCTTGCAGATATTATCATTACTTTAGTATGAGATGGCCACTATCATCTGCATAGCATACAACATTAACATCAGACTGTAAAAGGATAGACAATAAAAATGTACTCATTTTTACCATGAGTACAACGTACATTTACCCAACTAAGACTTGTGAACTTACTTTGGATTTTCGGAATTCATTATGATGAGTTTAAACAATCAATCATCATTACATATATTGATGTATGGTTTAAAAAACCGGACGAGCAATGTTATGAAGGTTTAGTTGTGGTTGTTATCTATGGGCAGAGGAAGTGCACACGCAAAGCAGTAAGTCGATTGAACCTTCATTTACAGATGGGGGCATCAAGGATCAGTCACTGGACTTGATCGAGCAGCTATTTAACTTGGAGGCAACTTGCCTTTTGGTCAAACTTGCTACGTTAATGCCTTAAAGGCCGGGGGAATGGCTCTCTAAGAAACAATTAATACTTCCAGGCTAATTACTTTTCAACCTGAAACAATGATGATTACTTTGACAACATTAATAAAAACCAAATATTTCAGTTTATGTACAAGTCCAGCCATTTTGCACATTAAAGGGACGGGTGCAAATCTTGTATTCCTTTTTGTAATCATCGTTAGTCATTCAAACGTATACAGAGAATATAAATTAAAATTAACAGGGAAAATCAATAGTAAATTTGAAACCCGGAATACAGAAATGAATCTAAGACTGAATTCGGTTTTTGTATGAATGTTATAAAAAAACTCAAATTATATCATATCGGAGTATTAAAATATCTGGGTTTAATTTATATGCATGAAATGAGGGGACACTAGTCCATGCATAGTGAACAGAACCCTTGAATGTTTGAAGGCAAATAGAAGCATATCCTGAATCAAACGTGTGTGGAGCCACATACTCTCAGCCATATTGCAAAGCGCACCGCCTGGTCTTAATGGCTTATGTCTCAAAGAATGGTTCTTCTACCAGTTCTTGGGCAGGACCTGTGTTTCAATTTATTGAATAGAAATATAGTATGATGATATAGCTTGTTTAGAATATTATCTACTCCTGTATAGGGAAAATCTTTTTTCTAAAAATTGAAAGTAAAAAGTAAAGCTAAGTATGAATTACATACCAACAGGGTCTGATGAATCGACTTTAATTGCATCATACTTGCCTTCAGGGGTTTGCCTTAAAAATTCCACAGCTGTCAAAATCAAGAGAATTCACAATTATATTTGAGAATATATGTAGGAGTATAATTGAAGTAATACATATAAATTTTCTGATGATCTGATTCACCTTGTAAGTTTTAACCACGATTGAAATTTCTAGTGGGATACACAACGTAACTAACAAACATTTGGGTTGATTAGTAGGTTACACTTCAAATGAATGCCACTGCAGTTTACTAACTAATGTGTTGTATGTTTCAACTTTCAACTATGGCAGATAAATAAAGAGTATCCCCAAAATAGTTCAAACCAAATACATGTCTCACTGGTGAGTTGCAGCTAAAAACTATACAAGAATAATGTTCATATTAAAATTCCATAGAGATATAATTTACCATCACAACATGAAGGTTGACTTTGGGGTCCTCAAAGCCAATAGCTAGCTCTGGAATGATTTTTTTGCTAACCTGAAACTGAAGAATCAGTATACATAACATAACAGCTAATGAAATAATAAGGCATGACACATGGAGACTATAATTTAAGTTGTGACTTCCATCTATAACCATTTTATCTATCTCACAAATGTCAATATGCTCCACAGAGCAATGACGAGAAATTTCTCTAAGTACTCCCCCATCACCACCGCCAACAACAAGAACCTGCATTTACAAGCAAACTATTCTCAGAAATTCAACTGAGGTAATTAGATTTGGATAAGTCAATTATGTCCAGGACAACAAACCTAGGAGACGATCTGGCAGCCCTCGAAGTAGAAGACTCCCCACCTCCCGTTTTTTCCTCGCCATCTCTGGTAAAGAAACCAGAAATTAAAAATCGCGATGCACAATACCTCAAACCAGGTCCCTCAGTTTATCGCCTCCCCTGCACAGGATAATTGCGCACAGAGCCGGCAACCTCCGGTAAAGCTTTAAATCCGGAATCAACCGTAGATTTGGTCGATCCAAACCAAGTTCGCCATTTTATGAACAGTAAATCCGCAAATCAGACCTTCGTTTCTTGCGTTCAACACCCTCTCATTACCAAATCGAGGTTTTGGAATGAGATATGGACGATTTCCAGTTCAGAAAACAAATGAAAAAGATTCTAAAGCACCCCAAAAATCTTGAGCGAAAACCAACATTAGCGCAAAAGAGCCCAGGTCGTGAATAGCATTTTTCCTAGGGAGAGAAAGCTCTCAACTTTATCTGCATATTCTGTTGCGATTCGAGAAGCTCTGGCCAGATCTCCCGGACAATCAGTGCCAATGAAGACTTGGCGAGGAGATAGAGTCACGCTGCGAGGCCAAAAAAAAGATGGAAGAGTTAGGGTTAGAAAGAAGCTATGGGAGAATGCCGGTGAAAGAGTTAGGCGTAAAGCCTAAAA